GGCAGATTCAGGGAGCCCAGCACTGTGTAGTGGCCCCAAAAATCTACTGTCGGGGGCCCACTTGGCAAAATATTCCAAGGGGGACACTTTTCCCCCGTTAAGCAAATTTTATACATGGGACCTGTATTTTGTCAGGGAGCCCAGAATTTCTAGCAATGTCCCTGCGTAAGACCTACTGTTCTACAGTCGTCATACGTCATTCCTGTTCACAGCTTGATACAAAGTAAACATCTGGTGTCAGAATATTTATTAATTGAAAATGATTTTAGAAAATCTGTAGTGTTCATTTTAGGGGTGACATGTCCAGTGATCTAACTGATGATTTGATTTGATCCTCTCTGTTAAAGCATCCGAATGCACTCTCTTGACACCAACAAGCTCCCATATTGATGTTTTGATGTTTTACATCTTTCAGTTACTTTAAGCAAAAATTCCTTGTTTACTAACGAACTTAAAATTTTTAAGTGAAACACAATATTAACACCTTAGTGAGCGCTTTGCGACAGATCCCTTTTATGTGGGGCTCTGATGAGGGGGAAAAAAAAGGCCTTGAGCAGAATCTGAACGCAAAGCCCCAGACAGTAGATTTAATTAGTGTATTATTGATAGCTGCAAACTGACTTCAGACCAGAGAAAATTCCAGTTATTAAAGTCTTGCTGCTCATTAGAATTCACAGTTAGATGATGATGCTAGTTACTGAGGATGCAGTCAGTGGCCCGGCACTTTCCCTTTCACTGCTGCCCCCCCTGGGTTAATGGAGGGTAGGTAGAGAGTCCTCGTGCCTTGCTTCCACGCAAACAGTGCCTGCTCCTGCCTCTGAGGTCCTCTCTTAACATCTACCCTGCGATGCTGGCTGCACATTCAACCCACGCTAATCAGGCCCCTAGTGGCTGGGGGGTGGGGGTGGGGGGGTGTGTGCCTCTAAATCTTTTCCTGACCCTGTTACTGTTATGTTTACTTCAATCCTGCCTCTGGCTCATAGCTCCCCATTCCTTTTTATTGTGTCTCCCTCTGTCCCTGTCTGTCGTTCTCTCTCCCTCTTTCGATCGCTCTTTCTTTTGTTGCTTTGCTTTCACCTACTCTGCAGAAGCTCGGGGAATCTCAGTCCTAGGTTTTAACTCTATAGGCCAGCAAAGGCAGTAATTCCAGTGATTTATGGGCAAGAGAAACTTCTGTGAATCAACTTGGAGAGTGTAAAGAAGCCCAAAGAAAGTAAACAGGAATATAATTGTTTCGATATCCTTCGGTTCCACGGCTGGATTCTGGGATTCAAGCTCAGCACCGTTGAAGCCTGTGTGTTGATGGAACTTAGCAGGACTTTTACACCAAAAATCTCTGCAAGTGTCTCCACAGGGAGGGTTGTGTGGCTGGGGTGACTCCATTCCACCTGTCTCTGATTCTCACTGAGAATATTAACTGGCTTTTTTTTCCATCTGTTTCCTTTAAGCCTCAGTATCTCAGGGGTTGTTACAGTGTAGTACCATCATCAGTTTAATTTTTTTTGTCTTCTCTAAAACTGTTTATTGTTTTTCTTTGTGTTGAGCTGGAAAACCAGGTTTTAGAATCATCTCTTCTTCCATACCCTGTTTTGGTGTGACACTTGTTCTCCATCTCAGCCAGAAGGACTCACAAACATGCATAAAAATAGTCATTATTATTATTAGTGTTAGTCATCAATAGCTAATTCTTCAGTGAGGTACTTCACTTCATAGTCCGAGAGAGGCTAATATTTTCTTCATCACTCACCTTTCCGGAGTCTTTTCTGTTAATGTGTTTTGCACTGTGACGGTACTCCCTACAATTTTTTGAGAGGACACTGACTTTTTTACCCCCCGCCCCCCGCCCCCCCCAAAGCACGTCTCTTTGGTGCATCACATCTAGTTCCAACTCAGGCTGCACACTACCACATCCCCAGGTGGAGGGCTGGCTGGGCACCTACCATCAGTGCCAAACACGGATAAAAACCTGGCAGTATCTGTAGTGTGAAATCTCCCCTCCTTTATATTTGATTATTATAATAGCAACTCTTATGAAAGATGGTGATTAAATCAAATGTTTTGTAATCATCTAATGGAATACATAACACTCTACCCAACACTTTGCTGATTCTGATGTGGGTCTCTTTTCTCATAATTACCCACCCGTGTCTGCATGTGGTTGTCTCTTCTGATGCTCAGGTCTCCTTGTTACCCTCTCGGAGGACCACCTTGTGTCTCTCTTTTCTCTAGCTTATGGCTATGCTTCAGTGCAAGGGGTCCAGCGTGATGGCGATCGAGAGCGACAGCGGTAGCTGAGGTCAGGGATGGAGTCTCCTCAGGCATGCTAATTTCTCCATCCTGCCCCCTCCCTTCCTGATCCATGCCCATGGGTATTTGATTAGAGGCCCTTTTGTAGTCTTGCGTCGGCAGCAACATCAGGATAGAGGCTTTTGGGTTCATGTAGTCCTGTCAGATGCAGAAAGAGATGAGGAAGGACTGAAAGGAGCCATTGCTGCTGGTATCATGGCTGGCTGTGAAATAATCTAGGGTGACATTTAAAAGCTACGGCAGGTGCAGTGCAAACATACCAGAGCACAAGACCCCTTCTGTCAGTGTGACAGAATCACAGACCTGAGAGCAGCACTGAGGTCTGCAGCCTTCTGCCTTTTCTACACGCTACATTTGGGAGTTTAAGTGCCGTCTTTGATCGTTTTATTGTCCATTTTATCTCTTGAATGAGATTACAGTTTACCTGTAATACTAAAATGCACCAGCAGGTGTCTCAAGTTCTAAAAGCCTTTAATACGGACAATCCTCACTTAAAGACTGAGTTCTCTCCTACGACAAGGTTTTTAAGCAAATTGGTAGATAAGCAAGGAACCACCCCTTAACGATATTTCAAGCATAGTATACTGGTATTTTCAGTATATTTATAAATGTTTGTACAGTAGTGTACTGTATACTGTAATAAACAATGCACTGTTCCTGTTATGTGTTTTCTCTGTATGTGACAAGTGAAAATCTATGAGTAAAACTGTAATAAACAAAACATAGAAAAGACTTAGGAGGTTTCTTTTCTAGCATAGCAGAGAAACAACAAGCTGGCCGATAAGTGCTAACAAAAATCATCAATTGAATTACAAATAGATGATATGCTATCATATATAGGCACTTATCGCAAATTAGCATCACTGCAATCCAGTGAATCACTGTTGGCATCATTTTGCACATTACTGAACTACAACAGCGCATAGAGAATAGACAAGTTACTTGTACATACTAACTAAAGATATAAAACAAGTACAAGCTTTACTCTTGCGCACGTTCGTGCTTTACGAGCTACTGGAGGTTCCCTATCCTACAATACAAAGCATATGTATCGAACTAAAGGCGATGGATTGTGAGTTCAGTGTAAACTGATATGGCATATCAAAATAAAGGATAACTGCAAACCATGTACAACCTTCCTTCGTTGACCCAAATAAATTATAAATCAGAACAAACTGAATATAATAGAAAGGCTGCGCTGCCATTTCCACAATCAAAATTCTCGGCAACTGGTCGGAGAGGTGGTCGTAACTCTGGCCGGTCGGTGAACAGGTAGGTCGTTAAATGAGGAGCGTCTGTATTGTGACCTCCATAAATAGTACAAACTGTCCCCAACTTATGACTGGGTTCTGTTCTTACAGACAGGTGTGACTTTTAAGTGTGAAAATGAGATTGGGAGATGCATGTGAGGCTGGGATGGTTGTGCTACTGTACAGTACAGTACTTTCCTGTGACAACTATTGTACAGAACGCAATATGCACTAGATAGAGTACTATGCCAGGCGTACAGCTGCCTGAAATTTTTTTTTGCATACATTTGCTTAGTAAAAAAAAAACTTTAGTCATATATTCAAGTCATTGTAAGTTGCATAGGTTGTAAAATGGAAAACTCATTGAAATGTATTGCTTATGCACATACTCACATACAGAGAATGTGAAGAAATATGCAAAAACGTATGGAAGCTTTATATTGTATGCTACATTCTTGCGTTAAACGGTTGCACTGAAGCCCAGACATCCTTCCATCTTCCAATTGCTTATCCTGGTCAGGGTTATGGGGCCGTAGGGTAAAACAACAGAGTGCATAAGACTGGGATATACACTTAATGGGATGCATGTCCATCTCAGGGTTATGATAAAATGACCCTAAAATCTGTCAGTAATTCAAAATGAAAAACGGACAGTGTCAGACCAGGCATACGGATGACCGGAGAGTGGAACATGGAGCCTCGCTGACCCGTGGTGCCCTGCATGCCGATTCCTTCTCCTTTCTTTCTAATAATAACCCGTGTTGAACGTCCTCTGCTTCCATCTCCCGAGTAACTTGCTGAGAGCCACTCAGCTGGTTTTCTCCTTAATTACTTCCCCCATGCACTAATCAGCAGTGTGGGTCCCTGCTCAGGTGTCTCTCTCTCTCTCTCTCTCTCTCTCACACACACACACACACACACACACACACACACACAGGTTTGTAATTATATCATTGTGGAGACTCTCCATTCATTTCAATGGGGAAAACCCTAGTCCTAACATGACAACCTTAACCCCCTACCCAGCACAAACCTTAACCATAAATAACCAAACTAAATACGTGACTTACAGCATTTTTACTTTTTTGATTGCATTCGCAGATCTTTGTGGGGACCTGAAAATTGGTCCCCACAACATCAAGATAACAGGTTTTTATTACATTGTGAGGAACATTTGGTCCCTACAATGTAATAGAAACATAATCCACAAATACACACACAGACACAAGCAGAATCCCAGGCCCTAACAACAGTCCCTAGAGCTTCCGGTTGCCTGCCTAGCACCGAATTCTCTGGAAAGTAACATTTTCAGGCTTGTGTCATGGGCCCCCAGTTATTTCAGTGGCCTTTCAGGTGATAATGAGAAGGTTCAGATCACAAGGCGTGGCTGATCCCACCGGGTTCCTCTAGGAGCAGTCTGATATCTCTGCTGGGTGATTTCAGGGGACCCCGGTTCCTGTACACAGCACACCGGAGCTGATGGTCCAGATGTGAGATGTAACATCCTTCACTCTGAAGCAGCTGGACGCCAACTGGTTATGGAGCCAGTCTGAACGCGGAGCAAACGAGGGAGACGGCGGGGGAGGCTGCAGTGTGACTGCGAGGAAGCGGAGGAGAGGCGACAGGGAGCATGTCACCAGGCAGCTGGCGCGGACCTGTACTGCTAACTGGTTCAGGGTACCCCGCCGACATCATTAGGTACACAACATGTACCAAGCACCTGCAGCCTCTTTAGATCAGACTCCAGTGGAGGTAATAGCAGGGACACGATGCACTTATGCAACAATAAAGCAATTATCAAAAGGAAAAACACACACAATTGTCAAGCTGATTTCTCGGCGTAAATACAAGGTCTACAGTCAGTGAATATAAATTCTTTACTTCAACAAGGAAAGGATAATGACAGACAGTGTTATTTTGGTATGCCTCTGTCTTTTTCATCAAACCATTAAGTAATCTCTCCCTCCCTCTCTGCATCAATTCATCCATTCTCCATCTCCTTTTTCTTCCGTATATCTGCCTGCTGCTCTTCCTCCACATTTCTGTAGCTCGTGGCTCTGTATTCCTCCCTGTCTACCTTGTCTTTGACGTTCTCTTTATTTCACATTACGTGGCTCTCCCTCTCTTCCTCTCTTTCTCCCTCTCCCATTTCATCTCTCTCTCACTATCCTTGCTATCCCTGCCTTTCTCTCTACAGCCCCCCCCGTTCCTCAACTGAGAAGTACAGTCAATAGGAGTCCCATCTGCTCCTATACATCACACACTTCATTTCAGTATATTAGCTGGGATAAATCATAAATATTTCATTATACATCACGGTCGGCTGTCGCAAGGTCCGTGCAATTTATCATTGCCGTTCTCTCTCAGTGGAGCAATAAGCTTTCCAGTCTATTAAACAAGATTGATACAGTGTGTAAATTTAGATATTGGGAATTTCTTCACAGACCAGTGCTCCTCAGTGATAGGCCAAGGTACTGTAATTGGGGAGAGGGGGAGGGCATGAAGGAGCTCTGAGCCTCAATGGTTATTAAGAGCAGCTCTTGTGTATTTACAGTTTCCGTTTTCAAACTGATATGCAAAAAAAATTGCTCCTAGCCATGTACCTTGAAGTAGAATATGGCCTTTCTTCTGGTGTAAAATCCTGGCGAGAGGAGGAGGATGTTTGACTAGCTGGCGGATAAACGCACATGGACCTGTTCGTAATATGCATGAGATTTCCTTTAGGACTCAGGAAATAGAGGAACAGAACAAGCGATGTCCACTGTAAATATCACACAGCCCCATATTAGAGCTCTGATGGAACGTGACTTGAGGTATAAGCGATTTGCTGTGAATTATGGGTGCTTGTCACATGACCAGGGCAGGTGAGAAATACCTCAGCACAAACCCCAGCTTCCGTACAGAGCCATGTCTTGAACAGTTTTGACCAATCATTCCTCAGTTTTATTATAACATTTATTTTTTGACATTAATATACAACTCTCAGACTCACTGTACATGTTGGCAAATCCAGCAAAAAGCTCCTTTTTTAGTTTTCCAGTCCTTAACTTGTGTGAAACGTACAGCTTGCCATCACCCCAAGCACACATGCAGAAACACACACTTGTACAGGAATAAGGTCTCACGATGAGCAGGGGGTGTGACAGAGAAATAACAACATAAAACCTTTTCCCCAGCCTTCCATTCAACCTTCTGAGAGTGTCAGACAGGAGGTATTTTGTGTGTGTGTGTTATGTGACCTGTGTGTTTTGTTTGTATGCGCATGTGTGGATTTCAGTGGGGCAGGCAAAAATTGTTGAAATGCCAGAATCAGATTCATTTGCATAACCATTATATTGTAGCATAATATAATATAATTATGATGAATAACAGATTAATACAAGGCTGTCAGCATGATGTTTACATGTCAATTGCGTGTATTTTACATGTTGATTACATGCATTTGACATATCTTTTTTAAACTGTGGCTGGCCTTGCCAAGCTTCTAGTAAATAGGTCTGCTTGTAAGTGACACCTACTATAAAAATAGTGAACATAAAAGCGATTATTAACACAAACAATAAAAAGCAGACAGTTTAACGGAACCACTAATGAGGAAGAATGACAGAATGACATCTGACGTGGCTCTGATGCCGTTTATCATCCCTAACTTGGCTCTTTTATATAATTGATATCCTACACAAGGCCACTTCACGCTTGGGCAAGTGATCTAATTTGTCAAATGTAAATGCAATTAAAATAGGAAAATATGTTTTATGTTAATGTAATTCATTGTGTTTCTCTGTTTCAGTTTTTTAAATAAGAGTCCCTGGACAGTTGGGTAACTTCCTGATTGATGACCTTCTCAACATGCATCTCAAGTTGCTTCAGCAGGTTCACAATCAAAGTGACATGACTACAGTCCTATTTTGGATTACATCAAGACAGCTTCAAATCAAGTCACATGACTACCAGTGACATTGGTGTGATTCATTGATCCACATTCATTTTAGTGTCTTTTTCTTAATGATGAATCAGCCCAAAAATTTCTGTTTTGGCCTTTTATTGAGAGAATGTGTGGCAGGTCAAAACATGTATTTGGATGTTTCCAGATCTAAAAAAAAAATCAACCTAGCTAAACCAGCAATATTTCAAACACATTTCAATCTGCCCAATGTCTCATAACAATGGTGGTGGAGAAATTGTGTCTCAGAGGTGTTGACATCCTCTCTCACTCTGCTCTTTCAGAGAGGTTTCGGTGAATTATTCCACCCCTCCAGTTGTAGCTTAAAGGAGGACTTCATACTTCAGACGGCATAGAGAAAGTCAGGCAATGATAGACCATGGGACAGAACAGGCCCAAAAAATCCTTTGAGTGTGAAAGATCAAAGCTGAAATAATAAAATGGAATTGTGCTGAAGACACCCAGCATCTCAGTTCCAGCATAGCTGTGGGAGAGCTGGCTCAGCCCCAGGATAGAGCCATGTGACTTCGGGAGCGTGGGGAAAAAGAGCTGTGTGTATTTATACATCCTCTCTAAGACTCGCTTGTGGGATGGTGAAATAGGTGACAAAGGCATGAATGAAGGAATAGGACTTTAATCGGGCAAAGGGGTAGAGATGGGTTTAAAAAAACGGTGGAATGGAAATGAAAACAAAAGACAGACCTTCCAGGAAAACACACATGAAAATAGAGCATGTGTAACAGAAGTACAGTATATTGGTGTTGATCTCCATTGCCATATGTATACTTCTTTAACTTTCTTTTTTATTTTACATGTATTCATTCATTCATTCATTTACTTAATAGTTTATTTATTGTACGTGTTTTAGTTGCTAATTTATTTGCTGAGGATTGTGTCCTGAGTCACCAGAGAAGGGCAGACAGTGGTGCACAGTTTAGGCCATGCACCCCTCAGCTCATCCTCTTGCTGTTTACAACCATACACCAAATGCATTGATTTTGCCTCATTTCCACCAACATGAGCTGGTTTAGTGCCATTTTGAGATTCTGCATGCGTTTCCATTGGTTTCAAAATAGAATGGAACAGAAATGTTACATAGGCTGAAGTGAGAGTAAAGTAAAGGTTCATATGCATTCCAGTTTTTAGATTTATTTTGATCTGTTTTGGATTTTAAGTTTTTCTAAGCTGCTGAACTGAAAAAAAGTTTTCACAGTATGACTTGATATCCTCCTGTATCCACTTTTGTCTACTTAAGGGCCCCCATCTGTGTGTGTTAATTTATTCTCACTCTGTGTTTTACCACTGTACTTTTAAGGATTGTGCAGTAAAAGTCTGCTAAAAATTTACCTTTGCTGTCTGCCTCATGATCTCTTCCACAATATCCTTGCACTACAATATTTTATTTTTTCAACCTCTGACATAATTATACTTTAATATTAAATCTGGCCAGCAGATCGATCTTTCGTTTTCCACAAAATAAAAAAAAATAATGAAAATGTCATTCTGGTTGTTTCACTGCTGGCAGCAGCGATATTAGACTAAACTATATCGGTTATGGATTGAATTTTCTGGGTATGTGGAAGGTTTGAACATGATAGCCTGTCCCACTTTTGCTGATGCTATGGTGCCAGATTCAGAGCTTTTCTGTGGTGCTGTGTTCCAGCTGTTATTTTCTGGCCCATGGCCAGTTCTTTAGCGGTGGAAATGTGCAGAACTAGTTCCGAATTGAGAACGAATCTGGCACTGGCACTGGCATTGCATTGGTGGAAATGAGGCATTTGTTAACGGAGCTGAGGGTCTATTTAAGGGTCCAAGCATACAGGGCTGGAATCCTGTTGTATTTATTAGGATTTTTCTTATTATTATTATTATTATGCACTAAAACAATATGGGTAGCAGAGACTGTAAGGTGTAGAAACACCAAATTTGGTAGAATGGTACAGAATCCCCCCCACTACTCAAGCAAGCAGAATCATACTCATTGGCCTGATGGTGGCGCTATAGTGCAGTGTTTTACATTTTGGCCCATATTTTTGAACTGTGGGTCTTAGAAAGTACATTCTTTTTTCTGCACATTCTTTGGCTTATCCTAATAAGATCATCAAACTCCACCCCTTAGATCTTTAACTCATTTACAAAATGTGTAAAATCTACTTCTTTGAACGTGTCTTAAACTGTTCATCCAATTCACATAAAATTTGAACTGCAACATCTTGAGACCATTTAGGCAAAAAGCTGTCCATAGGAATTCGATCGTTCCAATCCTACCAATTAATTTCTTCGGCATGGACTGTTTGCACTTAATCAGCTATTTCTCATCAACAGAACATACAGTTCTTACTAAGCCTGCTATATGTAGATGGTATGACATTCTGAGGCGACTGCAAATTTCATAAAAATTCTCCAATGGGGCGCTATAACTCATATTAGCTTATAACTTGGAAAACATTGGACATAAGAATATGAAATTTTGTGTGCGTGTCTGTGGCCAGATGTCCCAACAAATCACATAATAAAAGTTCATATACTCATGAAACATAGCTGACATCAGCCAATCAAATTTCAGCAGGCTATAATTACCCTTATATACGACTCAGAATCATGAAATTTGGTGTAATGATGCGATATTCCTTCCACTACTCAGACCAGGAAAAAGACACAGTGGTGCTGTAGTGTCCATAGTCCCTAGAACCTTATACAGTCACTTAGACATACATACACAAAGTGCTTACATATTTAATACACATTAATTTACAGATATTCTAATGCAACATTTGATGTTAAATGTGGCCAAAGAGTCTATTGAGGCCGTATCGCTTGGACCCCATTAATCACCTCCCGTGGCTGTATTTCTTTTTGTATTTGATTGCCAGAATATAATGAACAATGGCATTTTGAGACTAAGCAAGCTGTGAGTATTAAAGGAAAGCAGCAAAATGTAATTACAACCATTGCACAGACATTGGGTCTTTGAATGTTATACACTGCAGTGTGGGCTTGTATATCAAGGTTTGGGGGTATGTTCTAGGGGCTGAGAGAAAAAAAAGTCTCGAACATATGATGGGGAATGCATGTTCTCATCACCTGCCATCAAACCTCTGTAAATAGTGTCTGCGCAAGGCTTTGATCCATGTGGCTCGATGCTCGATCCTGGACAGGACCTATGCCTTATGCAAAGGAGGATTATAAGGAAGCATAGGTCCTGTCTGTCTGGGGTGTGCGTTCACTGTTCTTCAGTAAATGCATTTGCCATTTAGGAAACTTGAAGAACTTTTACTGTCATTTTTTTTTGCTCGCTACTAAATAATGCATTTTGGACAGGAGGAAGTGGACCCTCATTCCTTATTTAGCTTCTTCACTGCAGTACCCAGCAACCCGGCTTTGTTTTAAAGGTTGCTCTAAGGCTACTGAAACCACAGAAGCAATAACTGTATAAAATAAGGTTTAATATTAGAATATTTTTTCCACAGTAAAATATTCAGTGAGGAATAGCCTCCAAAGATACTGAAATTCAATAATAATGATAAACTAAGCCACTTATAAATCCATAATGAGATCTGACCATGACAGCCAGCATCAGAGAGAAAAATTGTAGCCCCGTTAAAAATTAAAGGTTAAAGGCAATGTTTCTATATTGAGTATGATTAGTCAGGCTGTTCCTTCAGATACGGAAGCCTTCATGAAGTGAAGGTGCTCACCGTCTCATTTAAGTGTGAGCTGGTTCACTTTTACCTGATGCAATTTTAAAACTAAATGCCTCTTAATTGACCTGCTTCAGTGGATGGATGAGACTGGGGTCAGAGTGGTGCTGAGACACGAAGAAGGTAAGATTAGAAAATCAGTAGGAGAAATAAATGTGAGCAGGCAGATAGGAGAGCACTCAGATCATCTGTATAATTGTCACAAAGCAGGAAATAGCATCCAGTAGTGCTGATAATAAATTGAAAATGCAATAAGCTCCAGCCAATGGGTGCATTTACAGCTTAAATGTGCTGCTAGTTTGGTGAATTTTTTTTTTAGTTTTTTTATGAGACGGAAGTATGGAAATCAGAACAAAATCTGGAATGTAGAATATAAATTAGATGGAATGCGAAATGTTGAAATTGGAAACATGGAAAATGAACATGAGAATGGAAGCTGAGCTGAAAATGGATAACAAAAAATAAAAAGGAACTGAAATAATGAAATGTGGTGTTGAGAGAGATTATGGGAACTTGGAGTGTGGAATATGAAAAAAGGGGTGGATGGAATGCGGGTGTAAGCTGGAAACGTGGGATGTGGGTAAAATGGAAATGCGGATGAGACGAACCAGGGGCTTTTAAATGGGGTGGAAACCCTGAATGTGCAGGACTTCTGGAAGATGCACGTGGGCTCTGTAACATACACATGGGGCCTGGAACATGCACAGGGGTTCTGGAATATGTACAGGGGTTGTGAAACATACACAGAGGTTCCGGAACATGCCAGCAGGGCTTAAATTTTGCCCAGGATGAGCTTTTTTTGGGTTTGCCTCTGAGAATAAGCTTCCCTCCTTATGAAGGAAGCTCAGCAGAGAAGAGTCAACATTAAGGAAGAGATTCAAATTGAAAGATATTAATCACAGTATGCTCTTTTAGAAATTAATAGAAGTTTGTGCTCTACAGATACAGGATGACTCACACAGCGATGTGAAGAGCCACACCTTTGTGTCTGGACCCTTTACTCCAGCATGACATACTAGAGGACTCCATAGCATGACCCTGACTGTACGCCAAACCTCTGTCTTAAAGTAGCTCCACTTGGAAATGAAATCACGGCAGCAACCGTAGCGAAGGGAACAGAATCTTATAACACAATGCAGACACTTTATATAGGCACGGATTCGTCGCACAATTCATAACCTCAGAAATTATTTTCCATTCTCCACGACAAACATTACAGAGAAAAGAATCATGACTCAATTTGGTACCGCAGCACAAAAGCGAGGGAGAGGCAAGCAGTGGTGGAAAAGCAGCCGTCCCTGCTAGGAGTTTCGAGGTGAGTGAGTCTTGGGGGTGGGTGTGACAGCCGAAATGGCAGCCTGTGGGGCTGAGGGAGATGAGGAGTCGGCTGGGGGGTGGGGTTGGGGGGTGACAGCCTGCCTAGCCGTGGCTGGGGGACACGTCTGCTGGGAGCTGATTGTGCTCGCTCTCATTATCCGGCCTGTGCATCTAATGGAGTGTGACAGTGCCGTGCGGAGCGCTGGAACACAGCCCCCAACCCTTAAAGCCAATTAAACCCAGTCAGCCTCGCTGCCGCTACCCTCGCTGCCTTCAGTTTCAGCTCAGCGTTGCTCTTCCCTTTTAGCTCAATCCCTCTCTTGCTCCCTCCCTCTCTCTCTCCCTCTCTCCATCTTGCCCTTCCTCTCGCCCTCCGTATCAGGTTGAAAACAGAGCACAGCTCCATTTGCCAAAAAAAAAAGGTTTGAAACCGGCTTCCCCGTTTACTGGATGGCTTAGGCCAGTACAGGCCTCATCACCCCAATGGCTTTGGTCTGCAGCCCAGAATTTCCAGCAGAAACAAGAAAATCTGCTTTCTGAGGTGTTCTGCAGGACGTGCAATATAAATGACTGTATTTCACTTACCTAAACAGAACATATGGAATAGCAAGAACTTACATTAGAAGCTTACTTTTATTATCAGCAGTGTGCATCGGTGCTAAACCTCAGCAGAACCTGCATTATATATTTTGTAGAAGGTTTTTACTTTGTGCGTGTGTCACACGCAAGGTAACATTAGGCCTTTATTACACACTCACACACAGACTTACCATCACCGTCTGCTTCTGATCCACAGAGACAAGAGTCATAGAGAACAAAAAAACCTGCAGGATGCGTCATTTCACAGGCAATTGATCTGCCCGTAAAGAACAAGGCAGACAAACTATAATTAAAATACTCGCTTTCTTTCACTTAATTCACTGAAATGGCAGCTAATCATAGATTTATATCTGAAGAGTCTGTGAAGCATGTTCTTCAAAAGTTTAGCCCTTCTCAGACGTAATGTGAAATTCACGATTTTTACGTGGGCGGGGAGAGGAGTACCTTTAAAAGAGGCTCCATCAGTGCTGTGTTTGCCCCCCGCTGGGCACTTAATTTGCTCTCCGTGAGGATCCAGCTTCGGGAGGCTCTCCGGTCACCCGTGTCCTCGCTAACGGAATGTGCTAGTGAGGTAGGCACCTTCGGCTCGGCTGGGAAATAAATCGCAAAAGAGATATGATGATAATCCAAAACAGCACCAGATCTCTCTCATCTGCTTGTTCGGTCATTATAGTTTTAATACAATGTAAAG